CGGCGGCGGCCACAACCTGGGCAATCTGAACTTCTTTGACCTGTACTCGAAGTCGGCAGTGAACTCTCTCAGTCATCACCTTCACCACCACCACCTCACTCACCCCCACCACCATCCTCATCACCAGCATCACCCGGTAACATCGGCGGCCGCTGCTGCTGCAGCTGCAGCCGTCTCCATGGCCATGGACACTTCCACCACTACCCCATCTCGTTTGCTGACCGTCGGCTCATCAGGCCTATCACCTACCTCAAGTCACTACCACGCGGCCGCACAGTACGCCGCAAACATGGCCGAATCAGTAAAAAGTTTCACCAAAATCTAATCCCCTACTACCATCACTACCACCCAATCTGATCATCATCACAGTTTTCCTCAACTACAGTACATTAGCACCTTTGCTCCTTTGGCTGCAACGAACTCGGCCTAGTCTTGTCTATAGAGCCGTTTCTTTAGAATGTTCTCTTTTTCTTTCTTCCCACTCTCTGTACTTCGTTTGTTTTGNCACTACCACCCAATCTGATCATCATCACAGTTTTCCTCAACTACAGTACATTAGCACCTTTGCTCCTTTGGCTGCAACGAACTCGGCCTAGTCTTGTCTATAGAGCCGTTTCTTTAGAATGTTCTCTTTTTCTTTCTTCCCACTCTCTGTACTTCGTTTGTTTTGAACAGTAGTGATCAGTGTGACAATTAGCAATTTGTTCCATTTATGTATATTAAGCAGTTTTTTTCGATTGTAAAATCAAATAGAAACTCACTCAAGCATTGTTTTAAAATTAAAAATCGACGTTTGATAAGTACTACTAATGACTACTGGTAATGGTCAAGTTGACCAATGTGGTGTTGCAAAAAGAGGGACTCAATTTCCTTCAATCTAATGCAGGTGTTCCGGGCAGTATTTTTGTGCCCTTCTTTAATAATTCAATGGCAATGAATCATTGAGGCCAGTTCTGCTGCTGCCGCAGTGGCCGCTGCTGAAAGTGAACGCTTTACGCTGTGGCTTTAAATTGAGCTGCAGTTTTCTCCTCTTGCAATTGCACTTGCTGAACACTGCTCCCTGAACTGTCCCGCGACGAGGCAGCTCCGAGAGAAAGAGAGAGAGAGAGAGCACTCGTTGATTAATGGCACATTTGGCAAATTAACACATCCAGCGGTAATGGGTGACAGACAATGAGAGAGTGAGAGTGAAAACAAAAAGTCAATTGTTCAGTGTGAGTGAGTGAGCAAAGCGAGCGGGCGACAGATTTGAACCGGTTCAACGGCAGTAGCTGACGCTGAAACAAAAGTCGGCGACACTGAGCGCACTGGGGCCTTAGGGAGTTGAGTGGGCCGGCGGCGAGAAATGGAGGGAAAGGAGGAAAACGGGCATTCCATGGTACCAGAAGAACATGAGCAATTACAGTGCGTGGCAGTGGTTCCACCAAACAAACAACGCCAAAATGAATGAGGTAAATCCCCAATGAGATAACGATGACGGGGCCGACGAGCAAAGAAGCAGTGAGGCAGGCAGGCAGACCCAGTGGCTGGTCACGCTGCTGTACAGGCCAAATGACTCTGTCGGGCAAGGCTAGCCTAGCTGAAGCGGCACCACCACCAGCACCAACTTCTCACTTGCCCACTTTTTCCATTAGGACCTAAGTTCACTTTCTCCCTTCCTTCCTTTCTCACTTTCGGGCAAAACCGTGATGAACTGTTCATTGGGACAACATAGTGACGCACTCGTCGGCGCTAAATGCTAAATGTTAGTGCAAATTGCCATTAAAATTACAAATTGCCATTTGCTCTAAAAGTGGAAAATCATTTGTAGAGTCTCGCCGGAGTGTTGCTAGCTAGCTCAAAAGCAGCCGACACGTTCCTTTCATTTTGGGTAAAAAGATTGTAGCCAAAAAATGCTTTTCTTCATCATCTGAAGACATTGACCGTTTCACAACAATGATTCAATTAATCACCAAACTCAGTCCTGGCAATAAGAATGATTCTAATTCTCGATTTAATATATTTCATTGATCTTTCGAACACAACCGGACTCCATCTAGTGATAGGAGATCAAAATAAAGTTAATTGTGTTTTCAGACCCTCTCTCCACCGAAACGTTTCAGTCAATATTTGCGCAAATTCTTTACTTAGTCTGTTCCAGTCAACAGACATTAATTCCGGTTGACTCATTCTTATTCATTCTCATCGTCATCAGTAACTAATCATTTATTCATCGTCATCTTTTTGCAGTATAAAAGGTACTTCGAACCGAATTGCTAATGTGATGCAGTAATAATAATAATATAGAGAATTATACATATTTATATTTTTATCACTTGATTTCTGCGGGCGCAAGAGATTTGGAGCGAGGAGAGAGAGAGAGAGACATAGACAGAGAGTGAACGAATAGGCAATAGAGAGAAAGTTAACGTATTCGAAAACAAAAATGTACATCGAAACATGGGAAGGTAAAGGAGGAGAAGGAGAGGAATAGGAGGAGGAGAAGGAGGATGCAGTTTACAAAGTGGGGCTGGCGGGAAGTCAAGGAGAAGATGGTCGCAGTGGTGGTCGACCTCGAGTAATTACCAGGCCGACGACAGCAGCTTCGACGAGTCACTTCTCAGTACTGAACTATTCGCTTCTCACTGAAGCAAATAATGTGCAGAGGTGGTGGTGGAGGAGGAGGTGTATACTACAAGCTTTTTCACAGTTACGACAAATTGAAGAAAGAGAGAGAAAGTGGCCATTTTTTGTAGAAAATAATAATAATATATAATAAACATCCACAATGGAATCGTGAGTGAAGAGAGAGAGAGAGAGAGAGACAGGGAGGTGAAACCAAGAGAGAAATAATAATAAATTCATTAAAAATATAAGAACGCTATATGTAAAGAGAGAGAGACAGGGTCAAAATGGTGGTGTGTGTTGCGGTTGAGGAAATTAAATAAAATTAAATAAACTGGAAGAAAAAGAAGGGAAGAAGGAGAAACTTCAATTAGAGTGGTGTTGGAGTAGTAAAGTTAAGAAAAAAAGAAAGATCAATTGGCGTGCTGGCAACTCATCGAAAGAAGTAGGGAGAGAGAGAACGGGAGTTTGTGGGTGTGTTGAAGTGTACCGGCGACCACAGCCTCCAACAATGCTGTCGTAGAACTGGTCGCATGTGGTCAGTGTTTTGTGGTGTCGAGGGAGGAAGAGGAAAGTGGTGTTGAATCGACTAATGCAGCAAGAATGGAGCCAGTTGACTGAAAACTCATGGAACGATGGAAGGGAAGCAAGAAGGGGAATAAAAAGAGAGAAAGAGAAAGAGAGAGGATGTCAGTATATCTGTGAAAGAAGAAAGGAGCAAATGGGAACGGAGGTTGCTGGGGTGGTGGTGGTGGTGGTAGAACAGGTGTGTAGAGCAGAAGTGTGGATCGACAATCGGCAGGTTGACGGTACTACTTTTAATACAATTTCAAAGTATAACTTAGCGGAGATGTAAGAAAGAGAGATATAGTGTAGATGTGTGTGTGTACAGCTATACAAAGTAAAAGAGAGGGGAAGAGGGGATGGAAGAACCACAAATTGGCGAACACTACGATTCGGAGAGAGAGAGCGAGAAAGTTGGTGACGGAGTTTCTGATTCTTAAGCAGTTTGCATATGACTCGAATTAGATAATGCGGTGTTGGATGAGGATGAGTATGGCAAGGAGGTCGGCGGAAAGGTGCTATTGGTGATTGGTTGGTTCGCAGACGAATTGCTGCTGTTGCCGCTGCTGTTGCTGCTGTTGGACGGCTGCTGATTAATCTCCAGTTGCATCAGCCGCTTCCATAGCTCGTCTCGTTCTTTCTCCTTCATCTTTTCTCTGTGCACGAAAAGGAGAAGAGGGGATTAAGAAAGGCGGATTAAAAGTACCTCTACCTGAAACCATATTAAACGTACTTTTGTCTTTCCACTTTGTATGAGGCGGTAAGCTCATCGAACAGCTTCGAGTTGACTTCCATAAAAGTTTTGAGGACGTTATATACAAGTGCCACTATCGTCTGGTTCCAGTGCTCTTTTGAGATGCGATATAGTGCTGGAAACATTATTGGCATTATCACCGCGCTGTTTTCTTCAATCAAAGTTAGTATGTACTCATTGTTCCAGAAAAACAACGCTCTTTCCGCCACCTGAAATGCAAAATATATAGCAAAGACGGGCATTAGTATAAGGCGATCATGTTCAGAGCATCATCGTCAACAACAACAGCATCACTAATGGAATCACGTACTTGAAAGTGCGGACTTGACACACATCGGGCAATTTGCTTGAAGAGGGGTGTTTGTATTTTGTCGAATTGAACTGGGTCTATCACATCGAGAATCTCTTCAATCTCCCCCAGAAACATTACTTCTTTTTGACTGCAAGTTTTGGGCCAAAACTTGAGTAATCCGTTGATAACATTTTCGGTTAGTGTTGAATCTTTTTCTAAAAATTGCACTACACAGTATGCCAACTAAAGAAAGAAACAAGAGTAGCCATTTTATTAGCCGGCATTTAAACAAAATGCGCTAGTCGACGCTTACTTGAGCATGGTAGAGTCCTAAACATTTGGGTTTATGTAAAGGAATGAGAACTTTGATCAAGAACTGCTTGTGTTCCACTTTGAGAGGTAAAGCAAAGCCATTGATAATGCTGTGTAGAAAGGAGAATAAGGGTAGGCAATTCATTAGTAGAGCACACTTTCAAGTTGCCGCCATTGAANGCTTGTGTTCCACTTTGAGAGGTAAAGCAAAGCCATTGATAATGCTGTGTGGAAAGGAGAATAAGGGTAGGCAATTCATTAGTAGAAGACACTTTCAAGTTGCCGCCATTGAAGTTGCTGCCTACCTTCCAAGAATTTCAAGCAGTTCTCCGACTCCGTTGAAATGTTCCGTTTCGTAGATGAACCTTAGAAATATGTTGTTTATTTGCTTGCGAATAAAAGCCCGTAGTCCGAGAAATTTGCCGTATATTCGATGTAGAACGGTTTTTAAAAAGTCTCTTTCCCGCGGATCTTCACTGTCAAACAATTCCAAAAGCTACAACAACAACAACAAGAAAAACAAGTTGAGTCAGTCACGATAGTAGGAGAGAGAAAGTGGCACACAAGCACACAGCTTGAAACTGCCCCTGTCATCGTACCTGGAGGACAAACTTTTGATCAATCACTTTCTTTCCGATGGCCGGCTGAAAGTCAGGTGATTCAAAGAAGCGCAAGACAAACTCGTAGACGAGTTGCAAATGCGGCCAAGCTGCTTCGAGTGTGGGGTCATCTTCTTCGGGGTCAAAGTCGGGATTTTCACTTGGTGGTAGCGTTCGAAATAGATTACAGGATATCTGCCGGACAAATAGATAGAAAGTGGGCGCCGGTTAGTAAAAGTGAGAATGAGAAAGCAGAGAAGTGCATGCACTTGGGAGTGCTATATGCTTTTATACCATTTTAATTATCTCAGAGTAGACTGGTTCGGTGAGTACGCCGCGACCTGCGCTGATGTAGTCGACAAGCTCATTTAACGTTGCACGTTTAATCTCTTTGCCTTTCAGATCGGCAACGGGGTCCATGAAGTCAAACGGCACGCAGCACTGTCTCAGCTTACGAATGAACAAGTTCTCCTGCTCTCCTTGGCTGACATCTGAAAAAAGGCGAAAAGAAGAGTGTCAGTCGATGGTGTTGAAGGTCAGTGTGCTGCTCAGGTCCACCACCACCGGTGCAGTGCCTCAAAATGGCGTACCTTTAAGCAGAGGTAGCGATTGCAGCTCAACGTCGTTATTGATTCGATAACGTGAGGAGCCTTGCGATTTCTTTTGCTTTCTTTTGAGTGAGCCCTTCTTGAAAGGGTCGATTTTATCGACAAATGCCGGTGACAGGGAAGCATGTGAAGCCATAGTGACTGCTGTGGTGGCGGCGGCGGCTGCTGCTGCTGATCATTGACGACAACAACAACCAAACAACAACAGATCGGGGTTTTCAACTGTGCTCTGTGTATAAACGACGACTGTGTGCGAGTGTATTGTTGTTGTTGATGGTGGCGGTGGTGGTGGTGATGATGGTACCGGTGTGTGAAAAGAGAAAGTGATGAAAGGTGATTGATATCAGTAAGGCAAGACGGATTCGATTGAATGGGCGCCGGGCAAAGGTGAGGAGGAGGAAGAAGTGATGTCGCCTGACAGTTCGGGCATATCTACAGAGAAAGAACAGGGAGAGAGTTCAGTTAGTTAGGTCTGCTTGGGAAGGTTCGTCAGAAGGGATGAGTGCACGCTGCTACGACACACACAGACAGAAAGACACAGACAGACAGACAAGCTCGTCAGTGCTTTGACTGTGTACGCTGGTGGCTGACGCCGACCACCAGAGAAACCACAGAGAAAGAAAGAAAGGCAGCAGAAGTGCTCAATGAGCCTTCTGAGCACAACACAAAACTGCTGACTGCTGGCGCGGCAGAACCCAAACTCTGGTGGTGGTGGTGGCAGGCGGCATCACCAGAGGCTACACAACAACGACGACGACACCGACGAGTAGCAGCAACAGCAGAAGAAGAAGAAGAAAGGCAGCTGCTTCTGCTGTGCTTTGAGCCCCGTCAACGTTTAATTCAATAAGTAACATTTTGATGATTCTACCTCGTGCGTTATAAATAACATCTAGGTTAGCCTGGGTTCTTTTCTTCAGACAAAAGTCATCATCGAGAGAGTGAGGAGGAGTGAGCGAGTTAGTGAGTGAGTGAGTAAGACTCTCAGTACTGTACAGAACTGTACAGTGCAACTCACAGATAGACAGTCTTTGAGCAGCAGAGACTTTGGTGATGGTGCTGATGGTGGTGGGGCAACTTCACCATCACCACTAACTGACTGACTATTCATCTTTCATATACATGTATAAATATATATCGGTGCAAGAGGGGAGTCTGTGTGTGTGGTGCACGAGCAACTCTCACTCTCTGACTACTTCTTGGTTAGAGGTTGCAATGAGGCTGAGAGAGCGAGTGAGAAAGTGTCGTCAAAGGACCGTCTTTAGCCGGTAGAGCACAGACAGAGCATCACTGATCAGAGGGGTGTATGCACCACTGATAGACACTGATGATCAGAGCAACAAACAAACTCATCCAGTTGGCGAGAGAAAATAAACTGAAGCTCTAAAGATGAGCTACTGAACAGCAGTAGCAGCAGCAGCAGATGCTGATTGCGAAACGTGCCGAGTGCTGGCGTCAGTACTCTCAGCCAGTGTCTCCTCTGCCTTCTGTGCTAAAGAATGCACCGTCGGTAAGACGACGGACCGAAATAACAAATGTGTGTTCAAGTTAATTAGCAGCCAGCCAGACTGTCAGACACACACACACACATTAGGTGGAGGGGGAGCGGATGCTGGTGATGATGATGATGCTGCTGCTGGTGTTGATGGTGGTGGGAAGGAGGAGGNAGCAGCAGCAGATGCTGATTGCGAAACGTGCCGAGTGCTGGCGTCAGTACTCTCAGCCAGTGTCTCCTCTGCCTTCTGTGCTAAAGAATGCACCGTCGGTAAGACGACGGACCGAAATAACAAATGTGTGTTCAAGTTAATTAGCAGCCAGCCAGACTGTCAGACACACACACACACATTAGGTGGAGGGGGAGCGGATGCTGGTGATGATGATGATGCTGCTGCTGGTGTTGATGGTGGTGGGGAGGGGGAGGGGAGGGGGACTGCTGCCTGAACGGGTATAAAGCAGATGATGGCTGTCAGATTTGTGGGTGCAGAGTGCAGAACTGACTCACACTATCGACCGAATAAAAAGATCGTCAAGTGCAAGAGTGTGTGTGTGTATTGAGCTGTGCGTGCATTAAATGGTCGAGAGCCACAACAAATACTGTCGCTCATTTGCTGCCGACTGCTCTTGGCTGCTCAGTGGCTAGGAGACGCCAGTGCTGCTGGTGCGCCAGAAGATATCAAGCCCCTTTGACGAGCATAAATGGCGAGCAGACACTGCTATGAGTGTATTAATGCCGGCCTCTGCAGAAGACCGCTGCTTAATAGGAGATGGCTGACGGGCAAGATCACATTATGTGGCCGGCTGCTACTGTCTCTGGTCTCAGTGAGTGTGGGCCTTCAGTAGCATTCACACTGGTGGGACACTATGCTCTGTGCTGTCTGACCGGCGACGGCGACGACGACAAAGACGTTGGCGGGCCCAGTGACCCAGTGGAGGAGAGGGCAGAGAGGACACTAACCACAATATTGGCTCAGTCGCCGGCGATTCAGTGGAAGTGGAAGACGCCGACAGCGGCGGCGGTTGAGACGTTGTTGATGATGATGATCACGACTTGACTGCGGTTGCTGCTGTTGGTGGTGGTGACATTGGCCGGCATAGAGGGAGAAAAATGAGAGATCTGCCTGGCGCCGAGAGTGTTGATCTGTCGTCTACTTTGGGGCAACACGCCAGGTAAATTGATGGTGCTGGTGGTGGTGGTGGTGGAGTGATGGTCGTGGTAGTTGCTGGTGGTGGTAATGGTAGTCGCGACGATGGCTTTTCTTTCTTTCTCTCTGTCTTTCTCCTAACGTTTCTATGCCTTGCAGGCGGCCTCTACTCTCTCTGCTGCACACTGACTGCAGCAGCACAAACTTTCGCCCTGGTGTTGTCTTCTTCTTCGATCTTCGGCGACTCACTCACTGGCTGACTGAGTGTAGAACTCACTGTCGATTACATAAGCTTCATTTTTCTCGTAATATTGACAATGAGGGGGCAGGTGAGCAGGAAGACAACACACACTCACTCACACTCACAAGTAGAGCAGAGTGGAGAGAAAGAATGCAGAAAAGTGAAGTCCAAGGTACTTGCAGCCGCCGTTTGGAGACACACACAAAGCCCCTTTCCTGCCAGTACACACTGGCAGTCTCTGCTGGGCAAAGTGCAACTCGAGCAAATCGGGTAAAAGCAGACGCGCAATATATATAGTGTGAGAACAAGAGAAAGAGAGAGAGAGAGAGAGAGAGAGAGAGAGAGAGAGAGAACGGCAATGATGATGATGATGAGACACAAGTTGTGGACGAGGAAGAGCCGAGGACCTTGCAGACACTGGTTCGGTGGTGACGAGGTTGACGAGCGAGGTGGTGGTGATCACACTGGTTTCGCTGGTGATAGTCACTTCAGGCGGCTGGCCAGCAGACGTTGGGCAATGTCACCGAGGGGCACCAGGGGAGAGAGACAGTCACACGGCGTGCACACACCGCAGCGGATATTCTCTGCTCGGATTGAATTCAGTTGCCGAAACACCGCCAGACACACACAGACAGACGGACAGACAGGCGGACGGACACCGACTCAAACATTCACTCACTCGCCAGCTCGGACAGAGGATAGCACAGGAGAGACACAATAAAAAGCAATGGCTCCAATTATGATCGAGGATGGTCTGTGTTGTTGATAAAAGCGATTAGAAGGTCTCAATACGAACCTGTGTGTGGCTGCTGCTGCTGTAGGAGACTGGTGAGGCCTGTGCTGCTCGCTGGCACTCTTCTTCAGTGCTGCTGCTGCTGCTCTTCTATGTCAGAGAAGAGTTCTATATCATTGGCCAGGCGACAGCGGACGGCGATTTTTTGGTAGTGAAATGAATGCAGCTCACAACAGCAGCGGATCGTGGCGGCGACGGCGACGGCGATGGCGTTCTCCCCGCACTCCCAGCACTGTCCGCTGTGCTTCTGCCTCGGGTAGCAGAGGCAGCACTGTATGAGCGCGCTCGCAAGAAGTTGGCAAAGTTGGAAAAAGGACACGAGTAAACTTTCGCCTCCTTTGTCTTTCCTCTCCACTGCAGACGCCCAGATGGCGCCATTGATGAGTAAGACGCAGCGTGCGAAAAGCGTGCTTTTTGAAAAAGCGGTTTGTTTCTCTTTGCTCGATCTCACGCCGGTAGCAGTTCCTCGTTCCAGAATTCTCATTTCGATACTCTTTGTATGTTTGCTCACCGAATTTCCCGCCACCTAACTAGTAGTTGCCTTTACCGTTCACTCACCACTCTGATGGCCTCTCCACCGAAACAAGCTAAAATGCTGACCATTGGAACTCACGATGGTGTGTTCCATTGTGATGAGTCCCTGGCTTGTTACCTAATTAAGCTGCTGCCCGAGTACAAGGACGCTCAGATTGTTCGTTCCCGAAACCAGGCCGACCTGGACAAGTGTGATATCGTCGTCGATGTTGGCCGCGTCTACGATGTTTCGGGTATGTTTGTTTACTGTCATTTGTCATTTTTTATAAACTAGAACTGTTTGCTCATTTTTGTTCAGCCAATCGGTTTGATCACCACCAGCCGACATTTAGTTCAACTCTTAGCAGCATTTTTCCTAAAAAGAATTTTGGCAACATCAAACTCAGCTCTGCGGGACTTATTTACGCTCATTTCGGACACCAGATAATCAGCCAGCTGATGGACTGGCCAAAAGACGATCCTCGAACCGACAAACTATTTGACACGGTCTACGATCAGTTCATCAAGGAGATTGATGCAATTGATAATGGTAAGTTTTAGAAAGACTAGTCAGCTCATTTGATTTTGACATTTGGCTCCTTTTCAACCAGGAATCAACATGTTTGAAGGCGAACCTCTCTACCACATCAACACACATCTGTCAGCTCGTGTTGCTATGCTGAAACCCGACTGGAATGAAGAGTCGAATCCGCAGATTCTTTACGATCGCTTCTTGAAGGCAGTCAGTCTGACTGGCGCAGAGTTCATGGAGCGAATTCGGTACTATGGAAAGGTGTGGATGCCAGTGCGCGTCCTGGTGCAGGAGGCTTTCAACTCTCGAACAGATCACCATTCAAGTGGACGCATCATGGTGCTGAAGCAGAACATGCCTTGGATGCAGCATCTCTTTGAACTTGAAGAGGAACACAATCTAACGGGCGCTATCCACTACATCATCTTTCCCGACAGCAAAGACTGGCGCATTCGAGCCATGCCAGTCACACCAGCGAGCTTTGAACTTCGCCGTAAAATCCGTTCCGAGTGGCTTGGCTTGGTGAATGAAGACCTAAGCGCCAAGGCAGGCATCGAAGGGTGCGTCTTTGTGCACACCACCGGCTTCATTGGCGGAAACAAGACCATGGAGGGAGCACTGCAGATGGCTATCAAGTGTCTCGAGTGAGTGAGTGTCTCGGTGTAGGGGCCGGCAGTGTGATCATCAAGAGTGGTAAAAGACAGTGGGGGAAGGATTTAATATGACTCATAATAATAAAATTGACGAATTTCATTTATCGAAAAGTACAAATTAGTGTTACGAGTTATACAAAATCTCCTGTTTGCAGCAGAGTTTACTGAGCTTGCCGAGTGCTGTGGGAGGCAGATTGCTTAGGGGGTGGTCTGAGATGCTTTGAGAGGAAGAGAGAGAGAGAGAGAGAGACGGCGAGAAAGGATGGCGAATTTAGCTAATTTATTATTGAAGGTGTTCTTGGTGTTCAGTAATTGGTAAATCGCTTATTTAGAAAATTAAAAAATGTATACACCGCTTGTTGCTAGTAATAAATATGCGTGTAAACATAAGTAGAAAACATCACAAACGCACAGCACATTATTTTGATGGGTGGTGTTGGTGGTGGTGGTGGTGGGGGAGGAGGCGGAGGAAGAAGAGAAAGGGTGCAGTGACATTCTTTATTTGCCTCCCTTGGTGAAGGCTTGCGCGATCACCTCCTCGGAGACCTCATCGTAGTCGCAGGCTTGCAAGTATTTGTAGACGCCGACCAGTGCCTTCTTCAGAGCGTCGTAACTGCTCGAGTAAAGCATCTTTTGCTTGATTTTGGCGCTCTCGGGACACCTAGTAGTAGGAAAAGACAAATGCCATTAGAGGTGAACAGCCTAGCAGCTACATCTGAAAGAACAAAAACATACCAAGTCATGAGCACGAGTCGGTCGACGCTCATGGTAGTCTTTTCTCCGCCACCCTCAACCGGAATGTTGGCAGGAAAATCGAAAACGCAGTATCTGCATTCGTTCTTGTAGTCTTGCAGCTTGGTGAGAAATTCGGCGTAGGACGCCTCACGCGGGCCGGTGGTCTCGACTTCAATCACCTGATTGATTCAAAATTTTAGGTTAGCCGGTTTTTGTTACCAAGTTTCACGTGCAGATTGCAACTTACGCGCTCATTCTTGATGTGGTAGATGATGTAGCGGTACTTCTTGTCCTTCTTGACTTCCTCGTAGAGGATCTTGGCTTCAGTTGCGACTGTTACTCCGGAGGCCTGAGAAAAAGGAAAAGAAAGTGTCAAAATACCGATAACAAAAGACAGTGCGCGCAGCGGTCGGCGGTGTCAATAGCCTGCATGAGATGGCAATTCTGTTAAGATGAAAATTCTGGTCGCGCACTACATTTGTGAAGACGCGCAACACGTGTAGAAAGTGGTAGGCTGACTGGTTGATTCGTTGGCATAGCGTTGGTTCGGTTAGATGGCGTCGAGAGAGCAACGACGGGAGAGAGAATTACAGTAGGTGCAATAGAGCCAAATTTAGAATTAAAATAAAACGCGTCAAGAGGGAAGGGCAACGCAATTGCAGCACTGCCATTTTGCTGCAATATAAGGAGTGAACCCAAAGTTGGCATAAACAGAATTTGCTTAAAATCGGCGAGAATATACGTATCAGTTCAGTCCATGTTTCAAGTTTTGCCAGCTTGAATTCTGTTTCAAGCATTCAGTTCAAAAGTGTTCAGCTAAGCACAAAGGCGAAAGAGGTAACCATTTTGAAGCGTTGGTGGTGGTGGTGCTGGTAGGATGCAGTGGCAGAGGATGTGACACTCTAGCACTCTGTGTGGCAGGCAACGGCCGGCGCTTGAAGCAATTCGGCGAGTGCTGCAAATTCTCAGGTGTCGGCTTCAGAGTGTGAGCAGTCGTTGACGATGTCAAGACGATCACGAGGCTGGAAACTCGTGGTCCACTCGGGCGCTGGTGTCCACTGGAAAAGCAGCAGTTGACGCGGACCAGTAGCAGGGCGTTGACTACACAAACACGTCTCACTTGTCAGTGATCACCGGTGTGGCACTGGCGCACTTTTGACACCGCCGAGAGCGCCTAAAGAAGCTAGCCGGCGCCGAAGAGCGCGGCCCCAGCACGTCAACGGGCACTTACCATCTTGACTTCGGGTAGAGATAGGTGCTGTCAGTGGACGGGAGACAAAGAGTGTATCGGCGACGACGGTCGGCGGAGTGAATGGATCTAGAGACAGAAGTGAGTGAGCGAGGGAGAAAGGGAGAGAGAGAAAGGCCAATCAGTGGGTGAATCAGAGACAGACAATGGTGCTGGCAAAGACGTACGGCGACAGTGGAGAGAGGCTGGAGACGAGGCGACTGAGCGACTGACTGACTGTCTGCCTGTCGACGGAGCGAGTATTTGAGCTGTAGCGCCGAGCTGCGAGCGGATTCGAGGCAGCCTGCACTATCACCACCATACATGCGCACAGCCGCCAGTAATGGTAGCCAAAAAGTTACCGCCCGAATCGATGCCCACAGATGACGGGCTTGGCCACTTGATCGCTCCTGCTGCTCCTGCTGACTGCGTTCACACAGTTCAAAGCCGCTTCAACGCCGGCGTCTGCTCTGATCAGAAACCAAGGGAAGGGGGGGGGGGGAGGCCCCCCAGTCACACTGTCACCGGTCATCGCTGGGGCCAGTGGGCGCCACTGGGTCCTCCGGCGATTGCAGTCAGAGGATGGCCGACAGTGATATTGAGTGCACTTTTGGGCGGTGATTACTACTTCCCACCTTCCTTTTCTCTCTCAGCTCTATCGTTATCAGTGCAGCAGGCTGCAGTACACAGACAGACAGACACACACCGGCGATTAGCATGGCGTCCAACCGGGCAGTCTGAGGAAATTAGAGCCAAATTTGGCTACACAAATCGATCGTCTCTCTCAAGGGGTTGCTCCTACTGTCGTCGTCGAACGGCTGCCTCTGACACAGTCTGCTGGTGGAACAGACCAGGGAGGTAGGAGATCGTCGAAGACGTCCTCGTGAGACGGTGGGCCGTCCGGTCAGTGGCAGTGTGCTGGGTGATGGCGCATTGCACCGTGGTTGCATCCCTCTCTTCCTTTCTCTCGCTTTCCCTCCCTGCTGCAGCCCAGGAGCAGAGTGACATCGACTGCTGGTGATAGGAACTGTTGTTGCCATTTAAGGTGACAAATTGCGAGCGAAGGATGGCGAAAGAGAGGATGGTGGTCGTGCACTGGGAGAGCGGCACTGTGGCGTAGCTGCAGAGACGACGCAACATCACCACCGCCACCACCACCACCACCAGCAACAGCCAGAAATACTGCTGCTACAGCAGATTGCCTGAAGCGCCTGCTGTACGCCTGCTGGCGCTGATGCCACTGCTTCCACCGCTGTTGGCAGTGGCGCCCGCCGTCATCGAGGCTGCCAACCGCACAAACACACGCCCCCATCGATGGTCGGCGTCGAGAGTCAGCTGGACAGCCAGGCTGCTGCTGCTAAATTTAATGCCCCAGACTGATATGATTGAGGCCTGATGGCGTTCGCCTTCCACTTTGATTGCCCCCTAATAGCTGGTTCCCAGTTTAGCGTAAGTGGCGCATACATACAGGGCGCAATGAACGGTGACGAGGAGCTGGGGGGGGGGAAGTGCCGCTAACAGAGTGGCAGACAACGAGGCCAGCACAGTGTGTCAAATGTGGGCGAATGTGGCACATTTTGACAACTGCGCTGACACTAGGTCTTGTCAGATCAATGAACTGGCATTTGGGGAACTGTGTCTCTGACCAGCAGAATCCCGGCGTCGATCCGAAAAATGAGAGCGGACAGACAGACTGACTGTCACGTAACGACCACTGTGAATGACCATCAGCCGTGTGCATTTTTTCCCAAGAGCATTTTTGCAGACAGACTCTCACGTGCGCTGGTTCTCTTGTCGTGATTTTTCACGGTTGTTTTCCTCGGTCCTGGAACTGCTCAACCTCGACCGTCATCACCGGCTTCAGCTGCTAGCCTTCACTAGTCGATAGCCTCATCTCCTCATCCTCGCTGTCATGGGCAACGTGCTGGCCACCTCTGCGCCTTCGCCGCCACTACCTGGCGGACAGTCCTTTTCGCAGTTTCTGCCACCGGAGAACCCGTCCGGCGGCGATGCATCGCCGAAAGATGCACTCAGCTCGCAACCAGAGACCAATCCCGGAACAATGGAGGAACTGCATCGAAAGTGCAAAGGTAAGCGTGAACATTCTGTCCTCTTGCTGTTGACACATCTGATGTTTACATATGTTTGCATGCAGACATTTTCCCTATGCCTTTTGACGGCGCCAAGGTTGTGATAAACAAGATGCTTAGCAATCACTTTCAAATAAGCCACAACATCATCATGAGCGGCGGCATCAATCCGCCCGGATACCGCTTCGGCGCTACCTACATCGGCACACGCCAGCTGTCACCCAGCGAAGCGTACCCAATCTTCTTCGGCGAAATTGATCCCACGGGCAATGTCAGCTCGCGCATCATTCATCAGCTGGGCGAGCGCACCAAGGTGCAGGTGACGGCACAGTTCCAGAACAGCAAGTGCGTCATGGGACAGCTCACCACCGACTACAACGGCCCCTTCTACACTGGATCTCTGGTGCTGGGCAATGTTGACCCCATCAACGCCTCAGGCATCGCCGTCGCTAGCTACCTTCAGAATGTCACTAAAAGCCTTTCCCTCGGTGCCGAGCTGGTCACGCAGTACAACTCACCGCAGGTCAACTCCGTCCTCTCCATTGCCGGTCGCTACACCTCGCCCAGCGACTTCATTGTCAGCGGCACCTTGAACAAGTCGGGCGTTCAGCTGTGCTACTACCAGAAGAAAAATGAAAATCTTCAGGTACGCATAGTACACGTGATGCGGTTGTTTTGCCGTCAACTAACCATCCTTCCTTCCTCCGCTAGGTTGGAGTGCAAGTTGAGACCAACTTGACTGAACCAGAGAGCACCGCTCAATTTGGCTATCAGATTGATTTGCCCAAGTCAAACTTTACTTACCGAGGTAGGCTGCTTTTAAACTTTTTAGCAAAGAAGGTACTCAAAAAGAAACCTTTTCAGGATTTGTCGACAGCAACTGGAACGTCGGTGGAGTGTTTGAGAAGAAGCTGCTTCCACTGCCATTCACCCTGCTCTTTAGTGGAATGATCAACCACCCGAAAGCACAGACCCGAGTTGGTCTCGGACTGTATGTTGGCTAGAGCACATCACTGTGTAGTGGTGGTGCGCATATCTTCGTTGCTACGCCTCCTACCATCTAGCCAAAAGGGTAAAGAGGCGTCCCTCCTCTGGTCATTCCACTGGTGGCCAATTCGATTTATTAGTTGTACCATAAAAATTATTTACATTTTCAATTATTGTCTCAGTGTATTACAACACAAATATATACAGTTTTTGTAAAGCAATTACAGTAATAAATGCAATGTTATTTTTTAGAGCCAAACATTTGCCGCAGCTCTCTCAAGCCCATTACCTGTCCGATGGGGAAACGACTGCTGTCCATGCTGATGAAGCTGTTGAGATTATTCGTCTCGCGCTCAGTGCGAATAAAGTCGTACTTTGGCGGTGGCTTCAGGTAGCGGCCATTCTCGTCACGCATACGAGATCGGTCCGAGGCGAATTGCTGCAGAAATACCCCGGCTGGAATCACCCTGAACATGTACCGGTAAGCGGAGGAGATTGCCGCCTCTCTGAAGTTGTTTGCACAGTAGGCATCAAAGCTGATTGGAAAGCGGAGGACTGTATCAAAGTCGTACACTGCTGTTGTCTCATCGCCGTTCATCATCACCTGTCGATGCAGCAGTATAACGTGGTAGTCCCAGACCACAAGGTGGTCCTTCTCCTCGTCGCCCGCCTTCTGGCCCCAGATAGGAACCTGAATGAAATTATCAATTAGAAACATTGCAGATTATACAAAGTCCAAATCACCCCTACCATTTCCCGTTCATTTGAAATGAACACCGCGAAACACTGCTCCAGCTGATCACACTGAAGCTCCTGCACTCGTTCGCACAGTTTCCAAATGTTTTCTTCACTAAACGTTAGGAGAAAATATGTGTCAAAATTATATGGGTGAAAATTACTGCTCAGCTGACCAGTAGTAGGGCGTGTAGATTAGGGAGCTTAGATCCGAACAGGTGGCCAGAGACATTGTTGTGGACTACTTTAGAGTGCACGGAAGAAGTGTGTGTTTGTTTTGAAGTTTGCCAGAAGTGTGCGACTATTTTCATGCCGGCATCTATTTCGCACAGCGTCTCTCTCTCTCAAATCACGATTCTCGATTCTGGTCTGGTTGTGTGTGTTGCCAGAATGCAGAGCAGCAGAGGCAGCACAGAATGAACTCGAGCCAGTGTGAGTACTGTACAGCAGCGAGGGCTGTACGGCAGAAGAGAGCAAAGACGGCCAGAAGAAGACCAGCTGCTGCTTCTCCTGCTGCTGCCGTTAGTGCTGGCAGAGAGAGTAGCACCAACAGCGTCTTCTCCGGTGGCTTTTAAATCTCCTTCAAGTCCACTTCTGGCACCTCTTCACTTCACTTCGCCACCATCAATGAATCAATGGCTGCATCAACAACAATGAGATAACGGTTTTATGGCGCATCTTTATGGTCGCAGACAGACAGCTAGACGCTTTCTGCTTTTTCGAGCCTTCTCAACTCCTGACTTCTCGGCTCTAAACTTAGCCTCCCCACACCTCCAGGCAAGGCTTCATTTCGATTTATTGCAACTCGCAAACTGAATCGCTAAATTGAATCAACGAAGAATCTCAGACTATGACAACGTGAAACACTGTGTGTGCGCGCATCCAGCCCTGCTCCCTAGGAAAAGCCATCTAGTCATCATATTGGCATCATATTCCAGAAAAAGTCACTAATCAATGGAAATCGAATTCAATGTTTCATCTCTGGCATCTCTGATATTTTCGTTTAGCACACCGTTGCTCTTGGAAAACCTTTACACACAAAACCGCCAAATGAACCATTTAAATGCACAATAATACTAAACTTTGATTCTGTGGTCACTGAAGCAAGTAATCAACAACAGCAACAAACATGAAGCCGCCGATCTGTTTACCGACCTTCAATTCACTGTCACTTTTCCTAGTCATTTGCTGGTGTTTCATTGATATAGCCGTCTTGGCTTTCAACCCTTATCACGTCCTAGGTGTGTCGCGGTCCGCCTCAATCACCGAAATCAAACATGCTTACAAAAATTTAGCGCGAAAATATCATCCTGATAAAAATAAAGATAAAGAAGCAGAAGACCGATTTATTGAGCTGAATCGGGCTTATGAGGTATGTGCAGTGACTGAAGTTGCAAACAAGTTCATCTTTGACCCTCCCTTTATTGCAGCTTCTCTCTGATCCCGACAAGAGAAGGCACTTTGATAAGACTGGCCAACCAGAGGATTCGCCAAACTTCATGTCAAAACATGACTACAGCTCATTCAACCGCTTTGATTTTGACTCATTTGACACCTTTTTCACCGGTCAGAATGGTCAAAAGTTCAAGTTTACATTCAACACAAACAACTACTTTCGCAAGCACTCAATCACACACAGGTACGGAGTTTCTGCTTTTTTTCTGACTCTCGAGCCATTTCTAACATTCACTCCTTACTATTTTGCAGAGCTTACGAGAACACCATTTTGCCACAAAGCTTCACACGGCCCTTTTTAATCGTCTTCTACGGCGACCTGTGCATTCCCTGTGTGCAATTTGAGCAAGTGTTTCAGAAGACAATGGGCGACCTGGAGGCACTGGGCATCAACTTTGCCACCGTCCATTCCCAGCACGAGAACGTGCTCGCCCGGAAGCTTGGCGTTCGCTCCCTGCCTCACATAATCTCCCTGGTAGACGGCGATGTTAGGCCGTTCAGAGGAGACGACGTCTCCTACAACATTCTCGTCGACTTCATCGCTCGAGCACTGCCCAAGGACTTGATTGTCGAGGTGAACGATCAGAACTACGTCACCTTCCTCACCGGATGGCGAGACAACAAAGTGCGCGTCCTCTTCGTCAGCGAGGACAGCAAGGTCAAGCTGAACTACAGACTGGTGGCTTTCTACTTCCGTGAGCGCATCGCCTTTGGCTACGTCAAGGCGGACCACACTTCGAGACAGCTGCGTGAGCGCTACCGTGTGACCGATGCAAAGATGAGCTCGATGCTCATCTTCAACGAGGACATCTCACGGTCAGTGGCCACCCTCTCGGTGTCTGATTTGAAGACGCAGCTGATGAAGGATGTGCTCGACTCGAACAAGTACCTTTTTCTTCCTCGCATCACTTCTCAGGTAGGGCCTGTCTCACCAGGTTGTTTCGCCCATCATTACCTCTTTAAACTTGTAGATCATGTTCGATTACCTGTGCCCCACTGGAAGCGCCCCCTCTCGAATAAAGCTCTGCGTGATGCTCGTCGCCAGTGACAACCTGGAAAATGAGCCCAAGTTTGAGGAGATGCGAAACTTTATTCGCGAGAACAACTACTCCAAGGACCGCTTCCGCTTTATGTACATCTACCGCGAGCGCCAGGCGGAGTTTGTTCGGGCGCTCAGTGAGGGCTTTCGAAAGGGCAACATCTACCGGGGCGTCCACGTGGTGGTCTTCTGGCGCCGAGAGGTCGACCACGTCTACTACGAGTGGCTCGATAATGAGTGGGACCTGATTGACTCGACGTACATCAACGAGACGCGCAACAAGCTGGCCGGACTGCTCACCCGACTTTCACAGAATGCCGCCCAGTTCAGCAATGACGCCAAGCTGCCCTCGGTCATTGACGAGTCGGCGAAGAGTCTCATCTCGCGCATCGTCAGGCGGCTGCTGCTGGTCACGGAGAACCTCAGCGACAACATTGCCCACACTGACCCAGTTCCCATAGTGTCCATCATCCTCACGTTGGCCATCATCATCTTTATTGGCTACACGATGACCTATTTTATGTAATGCTGATGAAATAAGGTAGCCTATTTTGAAAGGAGATTAATGTTTGCTTTTTCTACCATTTAGGAGACTTGAGGAAGAATCGATCAAGGAAAAGCGAAAATTAAGCGGGGAATGCAGAACGACAACGAACGGAGCGAGTACGACTCGAGTGAAGTAAGTAAACTAGGGTTGCTTTAAAAACACTTTTTAAACATCATGGGGTTTCTTTGCTCAACAGAAAAGAACCGCCATTCAATATTCATGAACTGAGAGGGGAAACGTACAATGGACTGATTCGCCTGTCAAAGCCAGGCTGTCGGACGATAGTTCTCCTCTGCGACAACTCCTCTAAAGAGCGCCTGCTTGCGCGATTTCGCAAGTTTGTTTTGCCTTATAGAAAGTAAGTTTTTTTTGGAGCGGTTCACAGCAGAATAAAACTAATTGCATTTCCTTATTTCAGGAACAAAACACTACTGTTTGCCTTTTTAATGGTGGAGAAGAATCTCGACTGGTACCGCAAGGTGCTGATGCAGACGCTAGGAGATGACAGAGATCTGAACATCAATCCAAAGAACTGCATTGGCACGGTCATCTCTATCAATGGCTTTCGAAAGTACTTTTGCGTCTACCACGCAAAGCACCCGGAGATTAAAAATAAGGTAATGAGATGACTGTTGTTGTTGCTGGAAATTAAAGCAATTTGTTGTCAATTTCAGCGAAGCGGAGCTGACAACAATGGCCAATTCCTTGGTCTTGATGACAGTGATCTGTCATCGGAGCAGGAGTCCGACGTAGAGTCGGGCATGTTGGTCGCCACGAAGCCGAGGGTGCGCCGAAATGGCGCCTACCTCAACGCCCTTCACGAGGAGATCATCTTTGAGGAGAACCTACTGGATGGTCTTCCGACGTGGCTCGAGAGGCTCTTTGAGGGCTCCACCATTCGCTACCATATAAAGTAAGCATTGAATCATCTTATCATTGACTTTTATCATACTGAGCATGCTTTGTCTTTTGCAGCTTTTGGCCTGAACATATGAAGTAAAAAGAATGAACGTGGACGATTTACTTTAGAACTTTGCACTTTTGCTACTTCTACTTAACCGTGTGATCGTGTTGATCAAGATTCTCTGATAAGCTCGTCTTTCTACAACAGGGGAAACAACCTTTGTGTGCAATCTAGCAGCATATTCCTTTTGACCCTTTCTCTGAAAAGCATCCTACACACACACCCCTGTACAGTTTTGAATCGAAAGATGCCTCTGATGCACCCGTTTTTGTGATTGTCTACAACCTTCAAGTGATTTGGCTCACCCCTGGCAGCTCAGGTCATGGCCATTTTGATGGCGCTTGCCACTGCATTGCCATTTTCTGCAGAGGGGGAGAAACACCATAGCTGTTGTAATTTATTGTAATTCTCCTGTATTATACTGTCACCTCTTTTTGTCCCTTTTGTATAACCTCCTCTTCTTCCTTTTCCTTGTTGACTCTCCTTGTACTTGAACCATACTGTAGACTCCTTTTCTGTTTTCACTCCTGAATCTCATTTGCAATTTCTGGCTTTTCTATACACATCATAAATATTAAAACTTCAGTCATTAAAAGTCTTGATCGGAGCGGAATGCCAAAAAGTTTCTCGGAAAGCGAAGTGAAGTGCGACCGGCAAGTGCTGCTGCTGCTGTTGCAGTGGTGCACCTAGTGCATGTGCACAGCTGCAGTCTGGCTTCAGTCGCATCAGTTGATGGTCTGCGTAAACAAGTGTGTGTGTGAAAGACGGCAGTGTCAATCTCTAGTGAATTTTTCAAAACATGGCGTCAACCTGGCCAAATGTCCTTCTTCTTCTCCTCTTATCGTGCCTTGTCATTCTGACGTTGGCCCAAAACAAGTACTCGAAAGAGGCGAATGAGGAGAACATGTACACCAAGAAGCACCCGTTTCGCATGCAAAAGCTCAATATCATCTGGGAAAAGGCCAAGACGGTAAAACGTTGGCACTTGTATTTATCTTTATCTAATCTAATCTGGTGTTTAAATTGTCCACACAGAAACTTGATGGAAAAGCGCTAAAGAATCTACACGAAGACATGAAACACCAGGATGCAAATGAGATTGCCCTGAAGAAGCTAAAAGCCGACCACCATGACAAGGACGGTCTTCGTGAAGCTCAAGTACGCAAAGAATTTCGAGCACTGATGCGAAAGTACAGTATTGAATGGGAGGACAAGAATATCGCCGGCAAAGACATTAATAATAAACCCGCTGACTCAAATGCCGGCGCAGAAGTTCATGAGAAGCCGCTGTTCAAGGACAAAAAGGTGGACAAGCTGTGGAAGAAGGCGAAAAAGGGCGATCTGAATGAGGAGCAGCTGAAGATTCTGAAAGAGGAGCTGAAGCACTACGAGGAGAAGATGTCTCAGTACCACCACATGATCTCCGAGCTGCATAACAAAAAGCACAAGGAAAAGGCCCGACAGGAGAGCTTGGAAAATCACATTGACGAGGTGCTAGGACAGGAGGAAATCGAAAAGGAGCTCAAGGTAGAGGAGACAAGCAAGACGGTGGAGGCGAAACATCGTGAGCTGAAAGACGAGTACCGACGCCTCTCCGATGCCGTCTTCAACGCCACCGTCAACGGACAGAAGCTGAAGGGCGGGGAGTTTGAGGAGGAACGTGCCTCCAAGCTGTGGTCACTGGCACTCAAGTCGGACTTTACCGACGAGGAGCTGGAGACGCTGCGAGACGAGCTGCTGCACTTTCAGACGCGCATTCAGAAGCTCAACTTCTTCCGCGCCCAGCTCGAGTCGGACAAGATGGCGGGGAAGAAGGGCCTGAACGAGGTGACGGAGGAGGGAGAGAAGGAAGGCCTGAGCGACCACGCTCAGCACATCGTCCGCAAGGTGAAAGAGCTCAATCACAAGGTGGAGAAGATGCACTCCAAAATTGAGACGCAAATTCTGCAGCGACACTCTGAGCTTTGAGCTTCTACTTATCACCACCACCACAATATCACTGCATTCCCCTTTATTCTCTAGTATTTACTTATTTTACTTATCTCCAGCAGTAGCAGCAGCAGCACACCCTCACATTCCTGTAAAAAAGCTTGTCCCCAATAAAGGGCGCCATGGCTGATCCATGACGCCAGTGAGTGCGCCCCTCTGTGCACTGTGAATCTCCTCTACAATGTTTGACTCTGTGTGTTAATTAGCGCTAATCACCCACCGGCAGTTGATTAGGACACTGTGTGATTTGAGTTCCACCGTTGCAGTGCACAGATAACACGCCAGCATGGCGATCTAACCGTTAAACCCTCCGAACCAACTTTACTCGTTTACAAAGTGGCCTTAACACATTACTTACATTGAAGTTTAAAATCATAGAATTATTTTTTAGGATTCTAAAAAGTAACAGTCTAAAGGGTTTACAGTCAAAAATATCATTTAAAGTTTATTATTATTATTCTGTATGTATGTATGTATGTATAAATCTGGCGACGTTCAGGAGCAAGTAGATAAAAGGTGACAGGTATGGGTTTGTTTGTTTGTCGTTTACAGTGTTTTGTTTAGTGGTGTGTTGGCTTTCTTTGCCTGGGGAAAGCGCTGGTAGTATCGATCTTCGCGAAGGAACTTGACGCTGACCAGCTTTTTCTCGCACCACCAGCCGTGAAGAGCGTGAAACGCGTTGGTTGCGGCCGGAATCGAGGCGCACTTCAGGTAAACAAGTCCTTCGTTAGGGTTGTCTTCAATTTCAATGTGTAGAATGTCGTGTGAGTCGGAGAGGCCGTTCTTCTCAACATAAATGGCCGTCTTTTCCAGAATGGTGTTTTTAATTTTATTGGCCCAGCTAGGATCTAAAAAGTGGCCCTCTTTCTCGAAGATGTTGCGAATCTTTAGAAAGCGTGTCGGCGCTTCAAACTCTTTCTTTGATCCAGGAGAAGCAACTGCAATACTCTCATTTGCCGCATTAATAATTCCCTGAGTGCGCGCCGGTGAGTTCTGGCCAGTAGAGCCAATTGGACTGCCAAAAGCTTGTCCTTGCCATTCTACGCCGCCAATCTTTTCGCTCTCTGCGCCGTCCGAGTCCGCTTCATTGTCGCTCATCAAGTAGTTGGCCACTGGATTGCTGGCAATCCACTTCCACGACTTGAAATCCTCGCCATCAATCTTGATAAACTCCACTTTGACGCGGGAATCAGAGCTTTCGACGTGATTCACCACCTTGTTCCAGACTCTACGATACTTTGCGCTGTTTCTCTCAGCCGGAGAGAGAAGAGTGTCCCGAATGTGCAGCACTGGCATTGAGCGTGGTTCGTCTGGTGACTGCAGCAGTTCGAGGGACTTGTCGACCAGTTCAAAGACGAGGCACTGCTCTTCTGAAGCGGCTCTTTTGGTTCGTCGGTAGTAGACGTAGATAGCAGAAGTGATCGTAATGGCCACACAGGCAATGGAGATGGGCCACATGTAGGTAGATAGGATGTAGACGAAGAATGCGGTCGCGATGAGTGACAGAAGAACGTAGATGAAGGTGGTCGAAAAGCTGATTTTGGTCAAAGCTTCAGGTACAAGTTTTAAAAGCAGATTGGAAAAGAAGGCTTTGACACCGGAAGCCTTTTTGGTGGGTGGAGCCGGACGATAGAGGCCAGGTCGGTGGCTAAGAAGCATTTTGGTCAGCTTAACATTGCGCTCCTCGTCAACATCCGACTCGCTATCACTGTAGGTTTGCAAACTGGTGGATTTCCTAGATCGGGTGTCCATTGTTCGGCGAATGGGTGGTCGAGTGATTGGCTGCTTGGGGCTGGCATCGCTCGTGAAGATTCGTGGAAGAACAACTCGTCGAGTCAAAGTTGACGGTGACGGCGGCGGTGATGGTGATGGTGATGGAGGTGGAGTGTCAACATCGGGTGACGACGAGTTGCGGCCCTTTTCTAGCTTGGCGAGCTTCTTCAACAGCACGCGCCGAGTGGATGGAGTGACAGGGCCGACGTTGACTTTGAACTCGGTGGTTAGTCTTCGGCGGAGCTCCTCGTCGCTGATGGACGATCCATCGAGGTCGGTGGACGACATTTTGGTGGCCCGGACTGGACCAGGACTCAGGCTGACAAGAGGGACAGACGCAACCGAAGAACAGTTGAGATTTAGATTATTTTTTATTTTAGTTTGCTCATGCGGCAGGCAGGCAGCCGCAGCAGCAGCAAAAAAATCCGTTTCTTTGCCAAAGGGTCGTTCGCAGACGACGAGCATATTTCAAAAATGTAACTTGTACAAAAACTTTCTTTCTGGTGAACATTACTTTTTTGGCTGACAAAACGACTGGAAAACGTTTGCATCAAGACTAAAAAAGATGAAAATACATCAGCGTCTCATCGTCACCACTGCATTTGGAAAAGCAGGTGTTTTTGCTTGCAATTTAGTGCGGTGCTTTACTCTATTTTATTGAATTAGTTTGAAGGCATTTGGCCATTAGAAGCTGTTTTCGCAGTACTTCAGTAATTCACACTGACGTAAGAAGGGCGATAGATCAAATTTACCTAATACAACCAATTTAAAGTTAATGTCTTTTTTTCGTTTTTTAATTGTAANAGGTTGCATTTGGCCATTAGAAGCTGTTTTCGCAGTACTTCAGTAATCCACACTGACGTAAGAGGGGCGATAGATCAAATTTACCTAATACAACCAATTTAAAGTTAATGTCTTGTTCTCGTTTTCTAATTGTATTTAAATGTCTCCCCAGATGTAGCCCTCTTTGCTAAAATATGAGATTTACAATGTTGCTCATTTTATTCAATCTTATCCAGTGGCAGCTGCAAAAGAAATTAATGTTCAAGCTATACGATTCTGCTGTTGAGCACTAGTGCTATCAAAACGTCTTGAAAATTGAACTCATTAGCTAATGGCTGCAGAAACGACTTTGTAACCACTTTGGGAACGTTGGCTCAAGTGACCACTTTCATCAAGTTTGTCAAATGTCAAATGTTTGTAAATTAACCCCTAAAACGTCACCTGAACGAAACAAGTGTGACATCACCCATTCGAGAGGGGTACAGTGAGTCACTGAAGTAGCATCAGCAGCATTGCACCTGTCGTGGTCATTGCCTCCTCCTCAGCCTCCATCTAGTCATCCAGCATTTCAGAGGAAGGGAGGGAGGAAGAATACTGTACGGGTAATGTCCAGTCAGTGTCTGCTGGCCAGAATACGTTCTGCTGCGTACGCGCACGATTCGACCTGATGCACTGCAATGATGCCTGTGTGCACCAGTGGATGTCCCTCTTGGCGCTACCGATGGAAAGAGAGAGCATCCAAGCAGAGTACAGGAGAGAGAGAGAGAGAGAGCACTTGGTGGTAGCACTCAGTGTTCAGTGAAACGCATCACTTCGGAGCATGTGTCGGCGTCGGGCAATGTCTTTGCGCTTTGCCTTCCACCGCACTTCCATCGGCATCTCATAACTGCTCTTCTTCAGCCTCACTTTCTTCGTCTGCGGCAGGCGGACTGCTTCAACTGCTGCTGATGCAGCTGATGACGACAGCCACATTAGAGTCAGTGTGCAGTGAAGAGCATCGAGCGGTCGTTGCTGCCGCTGCTGCTGCTGCCTGTGGTCGTCGCCGTGGTGGTGGTGGTGGTGGCCACCGGCGGCAGTCGATCCTTGCCCGAGTTGAAAGCGAGAGAGAGAGTTTGCTCGGGAGCTTGCTGGCTGCACTTTACTCTTCAAATGTGCCTCAGCCTGCGCGCGCCATTCTTCAGCTGTCCTTCTGTTGAACTGCTGGAGCTGCCTGGAGCGTAGTGTGTCTGACTGAATGAGTGCCTGAACCAGTGCTTCTACTGCCACCACCACCGCTACGACCACCACTACGACCACCACCACAGTGTCTCATCGATTCTCTCTTGGCTGTGTGGGCACCCGAAGAAGAAGAAGAAGAAGAAGAAGAAAAAGTAGAAGACGAAGGAACAGCGGCAGACTGAACTGCAGCTGAGCGCGCGATTCGGTCTGCTGTCGAGAGTTGCTGCCCCGTCCGCCGTACTGTCTCCTTCTCTTTCTCGTCTCTTACCCGCTTTGTTTGCCATTCTACTGCTCTCACCTCTACTCCTACTCAGTCTCCACTTCCACTTCTTTTAGCTTCTTCTACTTCTTCAACTCTGCTTTCCTTTCTCTCTGCTGGCGATTCTACCGAAGCTGCAGCTGCAGTCTCGGCGGCCGTGTGTGTCTCTCTCACTCTCCTGGTGATAGTATGCCTGGTGTGTGAGAGAGTGCTGTGTGTTTGTTTGCAAATTGTGTCAATCTGGCCGCATCTTTCACCCCTCTCCGCACAGTGCCGCGCACAGCAGGTCTCCAACTCCGACTCCTCTCTCTCTCTCCTTCTCTCTAGGTCTCGGTCCCCTGTTCGGTCGAGATCGAACACCCTTTCTGGACCTGGACAGACTCCGGCTCACCTCACCTCAGCTTCAGCTCAGCAATTGGTGACATGCATTGCCAATTGGGAATGAAGCTGAACTGCTGCTTAACTTGATTATTTCATTAGAGCTGCACCAGCGCAGATGAAGTAGTAGAGGCTCCAGCTCGAAGCTGTTCCTGTCTGGCCGAACCACACACAGGCACGGCACAGCAAAACACCGCAACGCCAATGTGATCCTCCATCTGATTCTCCGCTCTTCGTTGCTTCTTCTTTGCATCTTTTTCGTTCTGTTTCCCTTTTCGTCCCTCATCGTTAGTGGTGCACCGTCTGTCTGCCGTGTGTGCGTGTTATCGTTGCTCTTCAAATGCCATTTGCACAGTTTCGTTCTGTTCCCTTCCCTTGCCTGTTCTGTTCTGTTATGTTTGCATCTCCCCTCGCACACGTTCATCGCATTGCATTGATCACTCTGTGTTGTTGATGATAGCCATCGCCCCTACTGCAATCTACTGCATCTGCCACTGCTGCTGCTGCACAAGCACAAGCACAGCAAAATCACCACCATCTCAACCACCGGCCTCGTTTTTTGCCGTTGACCCTTCTTCTCTCAACACTAGCAACATTTGCAACCCAACCCAAGCCAAAAGAATGATGCCGCACTGAGTCGGCATTGCTGTACTGAGCTGCTGAAAAAAAGAAACGCACAGATGGCCATTCGCTGCTGAATTGATACCCACTGTGAACTCACATCCTATTCCCTATTTCCATTGTACAACACAAGCACAAACACACACCGTTCGACAGCACATTCACTTGATCATTCCACGGTGTTTCTGACTCTCTCAACCGTTGCTCATGAAAAGTGCTCGTGTACGACAATGCTGTGATCGGCAATCGTGATCATTGCTGATCATCGGCTGATCAGACTCGTGCACAGTTCCAAGAACAGGCGCTCGACAAACGCCGCCGGCGCCGTTAAAAGACTCAGCTGGTCGTGCATCCAAGCTCACCACCCGGTGGGCATTGTGTCTTCATTACCACTACCAAACAGAGCACCCCTTCACGATAAAAGATAAAAAGAACTGAGAAGGAGACGAAAAAGTGGCAGAGGTAGAAAAAGGAGGAGGATTTTGTGTGTGCTTCTAATTGCCAGTCTTGGCAAGTGTGAATTATTGTGATGAAGAGAGCTGCTCAGTGAGCAGAAGATCACTCAGTCTTTATTTAGGCTGCAGCAACAGACGTCGGCGTCTCATGAGAGGGCATGCACACACACATTCTCTCAGAGACTCCTTCTCGTTAGCAGACACACAGAGACAGCGAGGCACCTTGTGCCGGTACAAATCACTAAAATATTAAACAAGTGGCATTGCCTATCCCCCCTCTGCTTGCTCTGATCACCACCATCACCTCCGATCTGCCATGTGATAGCTGTTTTGTCTCTTCCATTCAAGTCGACGGCCCTCTCCCTTACCTTGTTACCCGCAGACGACGACAACGACCGTCGGCCAAATTGCTGTTTGCCCCTCTCTCTCCCTCTTTCTTTCTCTTCTGGTTATTCCTCCCTCCCTTCCTTTCTCACTGCTCTCGTTGTCGGTTGATTGATTTGTTGCTCCCATCCCCTGTTCCCCTCTCTCTCTCTCTCTCTCTTTCACTTCCCTAGCCATACATCACAGTCACATCACCATCCACAGCAGCAACAGCAGCAGCCGCACTTTACTACTTCACAATTGCTCGTCTCGCTGATTGCTTCGCTCTCTCTTCTTCCTCTCTTTCACTTCACTCTTGTTACCGTTCTGTGTTAGTTTTGCATTCCAGCTCAGTGTCTTCGTCAACTACCGCAGCTACTACTACCAACCACTGCTCGCCACGGTGAGACCTTCCTTGCTCATCTCATCTTCCTCTCTCCATTACGTCTCTCTCTTTCTCTGCTACTGAAGCCATCAACCAGACCCAGGTACGTAAACAAGCGCCGTAGAGCTTGTCACATTCTCGAGTTGCACAGTCGCTCTGTCGAGTCATAATTCACTGGCTGAACTGAACAGACCACTTCAGAGCCTGCCACTTGCAGGCACACACAGACAAACATAGCCACACGCCACTTTCACCCATTTCACGGCTTGAATCTGCACGAATCGATTTGTGCAAAGCCCTAATGCTACAGCAGCAACTAAATAACAACTTACCGCTAATACTCTTAGCACTTCTTAGGAAGATTGCTACAGACGCACCAAAAGTATAACGATCAGCTCTCTCAATCTTTTCTTGCAGTCAGTGGTTTCGTCCTCCTCCTCCTTCTCCTGCTGTGTGGCTGTGTCGATGATGACGCCCGATGACAGGGCTCAATGGCGAGATAATTAGTGCCGATTGC